CATTGTATACCAGTTCTTTCATCCATCCCCACACACAATAATCCAGTGGGCTTAAGTCTGGAGACCTGGCTGGCAATTCTTCGCGTACTCGTACGTGGACTGCGGTGTACCATACGAACAATGCCTTCTTCAGTGACACCTTCATTAACACCACGCTCGGCTGCAATACGGGCGCCGGGAAGTCTACCGGTATCTCGCAATGCCTGGTAAACTCCAGTAAACACTCTCCGGTTCGGTATTCTACGATTCGGAAACCGTTGTTGATATTCAGCTATGGCAAGAACTGAGTTACCGTCACAAAACCCGTACATATAAATCATAGCTGCATACTCCTCAAATGAAAATGTAAATGGCATCGTGAACGTAACAGACGCACCGAGATGAGAACTGTTCTGAACACCAGTAGCCGCCACACAAGCCGTGGCCGGACAACAGTATCGATGTCCCTCTGACGATGGTCTCTAAGGACCGAAACATGTAAGGGCGTTAAGAATTGAAGGAAGAAAAACTTCACCAGTCACACTGGACGGAACTGTTTTATCTTTTATAATATTTTATATGTTTTGCAGAAACCCACTCTTCTCTCTGTTAGCCTGATTAGCCTGGAAGTAAAGTAACAAATCGTGAAATTTTCAGTACACGTTACGGCAAACTGAAATGACCGGGCTCCTACAAGATTTGCAGGCCTAGAGATAAAGGGGAAAACAAAACATTCGACTCTGTAACCCCACGGTACAGCACTCTTCTGCTCTAATTACAATATCATTCTTAAATTCCGCAGCGCTACGCGGATAATTGTTATGAGCCTAACAATTACAATTTCAGTGACAAGGTCTTACACTGTGCTAGGAACCACATACAATAAAAGTCGTATTTCGCAGTTCAAGGACGGGCCCATGGCCTGGTTCTAGTAACGAAAAATACATTTATATGGATGCAAAGCTCATATCCTTCAGTTTGCATGCGTTGCATCTATGATAGATCAGAAAGCAGAGGGCAAACTAGACTGATGGTTTTCTATTCTTGGCAGAGATTATCAAATTCTTCTTTCCACTAACACGTCAAAAATGTTTTATGGTCGTCTTAGCCTCTTATTCAATGGATACCGGGACTAAAGAGGGGTAGAGCGTGAAGGCGGGACTCAGTTCTATACAGAGAAGAGTGTACGAATGCATGGGGTATGACAGTCATATGCCGAAACTAAACTTACCAGCAGTGTGGCCTGTTCCTCATCCCGCGGGCACAGAGCAGAAGGTAAATTACGAGGATTCTTGTACACTCGCCCGTCGTCGTCGACCTCATCCGAGGTGCCGCTGTCATCCTCCGCGGAATCGCGGGGAGCCGTGCGCTGCAGACGCTTCCTGGCGCCGACAGGGATTTGGCCTCCCCAACACTCTGCAAAAACACATTAAATTTGTTGTTCTAATCTGTCAGATATGCAGCTCTATCACCTGGGGAAATTCAGAGAAATTAAAAGTGGATATTACTGATTTTCATGTGACGTAGGGAAGGCTTGGCGGTAAATTCACATCCCAGTGACAGTAGTGGTACAATACTTTGAAACCATTTAACTATCGGTTAATGTCATATTAACATTGGCTCATTGTTTACTTTTGCTAGTAACAGGAATACCTCAAAGAGCGAGAGAAGTGTTATAGTGAACAGCATTGCGTAGTGAAACTTCTTTACAAGGCCACAAGCATTTATTACGAATCATGGGATAAAAGCCAGTTCCAAATTTACCTGTACGAGCGCCTCCCTCGCTTACTGTCCGTTATAATTTAGAACTTCGCTCCCAAAAGATTTATAACTTTTAGAAATATTTGTTATTAAGGTACATGTTGAGAGGCTCATCATATTCATGTCCATACTCAACTTTAAGTTTTATACCCATAAATATCTTGTTTAGGGTACCCAAACTTTGAAACAATTTTGGTAGAATCGCAGTGTGAATTTCGTGAATTTGAAGAAAAATCGTCGAAGAATAGAAAAAGATTTATAAAGCACAGTGCCACAAGACACATTTCACTGCTTGGTTGAAATCCATTTCATTGCTGCGTTGAAGACAAAACATGCTTTCCGATAAACACCTAAAAGTGTCCGGATGAAAGGAATCCAAAATAAAACAATTATCTTACACATTTATGGGTTACACCATTCTGAAGGGAAATTATCAATGTTTTTCTGAGTATATAACTTTCTCAATAAATTTCAATGTGGGCTTCCTTGGTGGCACGATAAATATCAAGACGATATTCAATCGGTTTCCACTTTGCTTGAAGCATGTTCGGTGTTACCGTAGCCACAGCGTCCCTTAGGCGGGCTTTCAGGTGTTGAAGGTCGTTGAACTTAACCTTATGAATGAATGAATATATGAGAGATAGGCCTTCTCGGCCCTTGCACCTAGACCTCAGTGGTCCACTGTGCTTCCCCTTTTTTTTTTATTATTCCCTCAGCAACTCCACGCTTCGGATGAAGCGCAGGATTTTGGAGGTGGGGGCGTCAAAATATTCACTTGGTTCCATAAAGTACTGATCCAAGTGACGCAGTCTTAAATAAGCTAATGCCTCACATTCAGACAGGACGTGTGTGGCTGCTTCATTTTCCATCTGACACCTCTCACAAGTGGGACTATCACTTAGTCCCAGTTTGAACAGGTGTCCTTTGAGGTGACAGTGTCCTGTAAGTAGTCCTACCACCCATCGTAGCTGGTTCCTGTTGAGCTTCAACAGTTCCTTGGCTCTTTTAGCGGAAGGTCCTCGTATGAGTCTCTTTGCTTCTCTGAGTCCAGTTAAGGATTCCCAGTATTTCTTGTGTTTTATGTTAGTCCAGTCCCTGATTGCCTGTTTGGCAACTCCAGGAGAGATGGCACAGGCTGGTTCAGGTCCTGTGAACGGATGTTCAACTCCAATCTTGGCGAATTGGTCTGCTATTTCGTTTCCAGCAATACCCTCATGCCCTGGCACCCATATCAGTTGTACCCTGTTATGTTTGGCCAGTTCCATGAGAGTTTGGTGGCAATCCCAGACCAATTTTGAGTTGATCTGGTGTTTGTCAACTGCTTTGAGTGCTGCTTGGCTGTCAGATAGAATGTTGATTTTCCTATTTCTATAGTTCCTATCTAAATTCTCCATAATACATGATTTAATGACATATACTCCTGCCTGGAATAGTGTCGTGTACTGCCCAAGGCTGAAACTAAGTTTCCGCCTCGTGCCATGGCAGTACACACCAGCTCCAATGCCCTTATTTGTCTTGGAACCATCTGTATACCAGATCAGCCCCCCTTTTATATCGAGATGAAACTCGTCTTCCCATTCACTCCTGTCAGGAAATCTGACTGTGAAGGGTTTTTCATATACATGTCTCAGTATCATTTTGTCAGACCACATTTGCAATATGGGTTCTTTTTTCATGTCCTGAGTCATGTCTGCATGGCCAAAACCATCAGATACAGGTTTCCATTGCCCACTGCACTGGACACGGTAAATTTCTGCCCTGGCCTCTTCATCCAACTGTATATGCAGTGGGGGGAGTCCAAGGAGTATCTCCAGTGCAGCTGTTGGGAGATGTTCGAAATGCTCCTGTGATACCTAAGCAATCCAACCTTTGCTATTTGCTAAGTTCTGTCTTGCTTGTCTTGAATTTAACTGTGGANTTTTTTCATGTCCTGAGTCATGTCTGCATGGCCAAAACCATCAGATACAGGTTTCCATTGCCCACTGCACTGGACACGGTAAATTTCTGCCCTGGCCTCTTCATCCAACTGTATATGCAGTGGGGGGAGTCCAAGGAGTATCTCCAGTGCAGCTGTTGGGAGATGTTCGAAATGCTCCTGTGATACCTAAGCAATCCAACCTTTGCTATTTGCTAAGTTCTGTCTTGCTTGTCTTGAATTTAACTGTGGACCACCATACTGTGGCACCATAAGTAATTATGGGTCTCACAACCGCAGTGTATATCCAATGTATAACGTGTGACTGCAGTCCCCAAGTTTTACCAAACCTGCCCCTGCATGTCCAAAAAGCCTTATAGGCTTTGTTAATAACTTTGTCCAGCTGCTTTCTCCATGTTAGTCCCTTGTCTAATACTAGTCCAAGGTACTTGACATCGCAGGAGAGCTGGATTGTCTTACTGAAGAGAGTCGGTTCCTTAAGACCCTTTATATTTCTCTTCCTAGTAAACGGTATAATTACCGTCTTATTAACTTAACCTTATAGACAATGTGCTTCACATAACCCCACAAGAAAAAATCCAGTATGGTATCTGTGAAAGTGAACTTTCGTAAATGTGCTGTAGTGTTTGGCAGGACCGTGGGAGTCGTAGGAGGCGACAAAAAGGGAAGTTTAGAATCTGAGAGAGTAACATATGGTCGCGAATCCCAAGGGACTCGGACCTGAGAAAGATTAGGCTGGCGGTACCAGAAGCATATACAAAGATAAACCCGTCCTCTCGCCAGAGTAGGCGCCCCACGAAAACAAGACCGTAACTGTCAAACGGTAATAAATATCTGAGCCCCAGATGGGGTTCGACACTAAGAGTTACTTATTAACCGACCGTCACTCGTAATATGATTTTTGTTATAATTACAGTAATGTTGAAAGTGTTACAATTATATGTAGTTAAAACAAGTGAAGATCCAATAAACTGATTCACCAATCCAAACCCGCGTTGTACTCACTCAAAACGTGACAATATTATAAGAGATTTTCATTTAGCTTAATTTAATTCAAAAGTCATTCATGTAAACCAGTGTCACTTTGTGACAGCATTGGGTGACTCTGTTGTAGGGCTTTTCTGAACACGGTAATGAACCTTCGGGTTCCATAAAATGGGAAATTCTTGAGCGGCTGCACAACTGGCGGCTTCTCAAGAAGGGCTCATCACAATGGAGTTAATTAAGAGTTGACTCTGTGGCACCATTTCATTTCATTTCATTTTCTCGCGCTACAGCTGTTAGCAGAGCTCTCGCAAATTCACCCATGTTGTCACAAACTGACCCTGGTTTACGGCATGTTTAAGGGCTTAACTAATATCTTACGTAGGTCTACATATTTTGAATCATTTGATATACCAGAACTTTATAACAATTTACATATAGGTTGTAACTGAAATGTGCGGGCAAATTTGGCACCAGTTCCACACGCTAACAAAAAAAAAAGTATCCATATATGTCCGTATATATTTAATTCATGACAATTACTTTTTACAGTCTCACATGCAACAATAATGTTCTATAAAATCTATTAAAAGATATTCACTTTTAAAAGTTTTACACTACACGTTTCGACCGATGTGGTCAATTATCAGGCATTAGAATTATTGAAGGAAGAAACTGCAGTCTTCTCTTTCGTTGGAAATAAAACACGCAGTACAACACACAAGGGGAGGGATACAACCCACCGTCTCGATCACACATGCGCAGTGAGAGGGCTTATATATAGTGTGACATGTTGCGCAACGGAGAACCCCTCCCTACCCAGCAGCAACGTGGCAACTCAGGCCACAGTGACGTGGCGGATGAGTCAGCGCTCCCCTCCCCCCTCAGCACGATAACGTAACGCGCAACGCGCGGTGACGTAAGACGGCGTGAGGTGACAGCGTTGCTACGTAACAGGCACACACAGCCACTATATAAGAGAGCTCCGCTGCCTGTTACGTAGCAACGCTGTCACCTCACGCCGTCTTACGTCTTACAATTCACCTGACGTTTCGGAAGAATATATGGCCTCCATCTTCAGGATAGAAGAGTAATTCAAGCAAGAAAGCGCCCTGAAACTGGTAACAAGCCGATCCAAGAAGACAGCTCTTCATAGCCACGGCTGTGGTAACCTAAAATCCAACAGTCTTAATGAGGGAAGGCTGTTATACGCTGGGATATAAAACGGCTACTTCCTAGAAACGAATCTGGCGAATTATCGCTACGTTAACACGCTCAGAAGAAATGATGAAATTCGTGGTTTTATAACGTAATGGAGTAAAATCCTATTTATGTTTACTCTCACACACTTCCACAGCCCTTTAGTCTATCGTGACGTCTATCGTCTATCGTAGTTTTATAACGTAATGGAGTAAAATCCTATTTATGTTTACTCTCACACACTTCCACAGCCCTTTAGTCTATCGTGACGTCTATCGTCTATCGTAGTTTTATAACGTAATGGAGTAAAATCCTATTTATGTTTACTCTCACACACTTCCACAGCCCTTTAGTCTATCGTGACGTCTATCGTCTATCGTAGTTTTATAACGTAATGGAGTAAAATCCTATTGATGTTTACTCTCACACACTTCCACAGCCCTTTAGTCTGTCGTGACGAAAATCGCTTTTCAGCACTTCTGACGGTGGGGTGTATGTCGTTCGGAAGTACCAGTTCATTACAATAGGCTGCAAT